ATATGCTGAATTCTTCTTTTTGAATCTGTTAGGTAGAGGTTCAGCTACGGGTAGAGGAGTTTTTCATGCAACCGAACATTTCATGGACAACGAATGTTACATGGAGTTTCTGRGTATGAAACCAGGCATCAAAGACAAAAYATTCATTSTGCAAGGTTACGGAAACGTTGGCTCACATACTCACAGGTATTATCACAGAGCAGGGGCCAAATGTATTGGTATAATCGAAATTGATGGATCAATTTTTAATGAGAAGGGTATCGATCCTGCTGCCCTAGAAACGTACAAGTTAGGCTCAGGAAAGGTAGGATATTGTTCTGGCGGTAGGGCTATTTAGTAGTTTTATTAGCTAGTTTGTTACAAGAACTGTTAAAAGCGTGATAGTGATGTATGTGTAGTAAAAGCGGGATCCATATTTATTCAGTTAATAACTGATTTATCAAAAAAGTTATCAATAAATGTATCATCATTTACATTATGTAAATATCTACTGTTTCATGTGTAAACTAATAAAAATATAAATATTATATTATATAAATAACTGGTTCTCTAACTGGAATAAGTACAGATCTTTTTATTCATAGACCTTTAAATTCATCTGTCCTTAAAATTTCAGTAACATTTAATGATACAATGCAAAGTTAGTTTCTAAATTGAATTTCAACACAATTATATAAATACCTGTCTTGCAATACGTGCACTTATTGTATGAGTCTTGCTTAAGTTTATGGACACTTTATCAAAGAAACCACCAAAGAGATGGAGAGACAGTTGGCAGTCCACATGTAGGGAAATATTATAATGTCAGGAATCAACTAGACCTGGAACACGTAGAAGAAGATGAAGAAGAAGAAGAAGAAGAAATATAATGCATAAACAATGAAAACCTTGATTAAATGCGTTTCGTTTGTCTCATCTAAGGGCTGAATTAAAATGTTTCCACAGAAACGGTTTAAAAACACTAAAGTAACCATTTCAACAAAACGTAACAACTGAGTATTTAAAACTAATATAAAATAACTGATAACCCCTTAAAACGGGTTCCGTTAATTTTAAATCTTCCAATCGTTTTGTTTTTTGACATTTCACTTTCAAATTAAGGTCTTTGGTAAAAATATTTTTTTGTTACCGGCGAGGTTTAGGAAATGGTTGCTTGCGCACCATGCTGAAAGCTAGTTTTCTGGGTCTCTTGAGTTTTGTGGCGCCTAGCTCTACACTGCGGTCATTTATGTTCTATTATGCCCTTAAAAACAATCATTTTAATTATAATCACTAACTACGTGCGTAATTAAGCCGTTCTAGCTTGACGAATAAATCGTCTTTAAATGTTTTTTCTCGTAATTTGGCTTTTCAAATTTCTTCGAAAACTATGTTTTTACAACAGCTTCCAGACCGTTCCTGTTTAATCAAATTAAATGTTGGCATCATTTTTCAGTTTCAGTTTCCCAATGTCTAGAAATGCAATTTAATTTGAAATTGAAAACTTTACAAATTCAATGAGAGGAAACTGTAAACTTTCTAAATGATAAATGAGTATTTTTATAAAGCTGTCCTGTCTTATAAACTTTTTGAAAGGCACCCCGATAGAGTAATGAAGATGTATTCCAATAGTTTTTCAGATCTTAATGAATGTAAGTTTTCGAATGCTGAAAGGCTTCTTTTTTTTAGGTAGTATTGTAGGCTTTCCTGGAGCTAAAAAGTATGACGGCGATTTATTTGAACATGAGTGCGATATTCTTGTACCTGCTGCCAAGGAAAAAGTAATAACAAAAGATAATGCTGGAAAAATCAAAGGAAAATTAGTGGTAGAAGGAGCTAATGGGCCAACAACACCAGCAGCCGAGAAATTTTGATGGAGAAAAAAATTATTGTTATTCCAGATATACTGGCTAATTCAGGAGGTAGGAACATGATTTGTGATGTACCCAATCAACTTCGTACTTTCTATTAATACTTCCAAGTATGTTTGGCTTTCTTGTGAGCGCTGCCTCCATTATCCGGTTATAGCTTTTGTAATTCAGAACATTATTTAAGAAAAGTCTATCCGCTGCTACTTCGATGCCTGTAAGTTATGGAAACTTACTGGACTGCGTTTGGATATACAAACAAAAGAGGTCTGTTTTTCGCTTCCCTAATAGATGCCATATTATCCTTTTACTTTTATTGTTTAAAGGAATGATAGCAATATATTACTCTTCGAGAAAAATAACAAATAGGGTTAGCCCATCAAGTGAGAATTAAAAATCGGAGTAATTTTTCAAAGATCTAGAGATGTGATATGAACAGCAGATTACATTCCGTTCTTCTTTTTTATAGTCATTGATCTTTGTGACTGCATGCGACCCTTATGATTTCACTTCTTACTGTCTAACTAACTTTCTAACTTTTTCTAACTTTCTCAATAGAGAAAGTCTCTACTGCATGAATACGTTTTACAAGAAAAATTCGGGTGGAAAGTGGGCTGCGAGAAGCCCGGACGACAAAGCCAAAAACCAAATAATTACCCGAAATATAATTATAGCGACCTAAATAAAAAATAAAGGAAGCAGTAGAAGAGGTAAAAGGGCGTAAAGTACAAAACTGATCGAAGAGTCTAACTGATCTTCCGAGACTTACTATCCATAAAATGCGCATTGGCCGAGGAGAAGTTCTCACTGAAAGAGATACAATTATAAAAACAGTCGAGAAATTTTATCGGACCTGACCTTTATAATCAGCCCCTAACAAACTCAAACACAAATCCAGATAACAGGAACGCATCGACAATAGTGAAATGGAGGCAGCTCTGAAACAACTTAAAAATGCTAAAGATGGGGGGAGACACACTCAAGAAATCACTCATAATAATATTGAATAAATGTCTCGAGCAAGGTAGGATTTCAGATTCCTGGAATAATGCACAAGTCATTCTTCTCTTCAAAAAAGGCGACGATCGGAACATCGAGAATTATAGGCCAATTGGTATATTATCTGTCTTCTATAAGCTGCTAGCGAAAATTATCACTATCCGTCTGAGCCAGAAATTTTATTTCTACCAACCCGTCAAACAGGCGGGTTTCCAAAATGGTTTCAGAAGCATCGCTCATATCCACAGAGTACGTACGCTGATCGAGAAGTGTACGGAATATGATATCCCAATGCACATGGCTTTCATGAATTACCTACCGGAAGCCATTCGACTCGATCGAAACCTGGGCAGTGGTAAGGGCGATAAACGGAACGTGCGTATACTACAAATATACCAACTTACTCTGATACATCTACGGGCATGCCACCCTGCAAGTAAAAACTAACGACGACTCGACCACTGAAAAGATTCCTGTAGGGAGGGGCGTTATACAGAGAGACACAATATGACCTAAGTTAATTACCTTAGCTTTAGAAGACATATTCAAGTATTCAAGTTTATCGTGGGAACACAAGCGTATCAGTATAGATGGGCGGCGTCTCAACCACCTTCAATTTGCTGATGATATAATTATATTCAGCAGCGACCCAAATAAACTGGCAACAATGATCCAGGAATTCAAAGATTGAACCTTCAAAAGACCAAACTCGTGAGCCCTGAAAGTTTAAATGTCTCTGTCGATAATCATGATTTAGAAGTGATCAATAAGTACATATACCTGGGACACAGTATCCAACTTGGAAAGGGAAATCAGATATCAGAGATCACCAGAAGAATCAATCTAACCTGGATAGAATTTAGAAAACCTGGTCACATCCTTCGCCACCCGACTATCCCAATAAATTTAAAAATGATGTTTACGATATGTGCATACTCCGAGTAACAACATACGAACTGAAGACAGTAACCATTACCGTAGGCAAAGCCAATCGTATTAGGGTCTGTCAAAGAGAAATAGAGAGAGCCACACTCGGAGTGAGCCGAAGAGAGAGAATCAGAAACAAGGAGATTAGAAGAAGAACAAGAATTTATGATGTTGTCGAGCGCATGGCGTGTTGAAAGTGGCCTTGTGCAGGACAAGTTCATCGTTTTCACAAGTTCAAATCATTCATACAATGGTGTCAAAGAAAATAAAAAATAAGGGTCGGACCTCCGCAAGCGAGATGGAGAAGCGACATCCAACGACATGCGGGTAAAAAATGGATTCAAACCGCCCAGGAGAGGTCGACATGGAAATCATTGGAAGAGGCCAGGAGTGGCTATCTAGAGGCTAAAGAAGAAGAAGAAGAAGTCTCCATCATCTTTTCTGTTATTCCAGTGTCTCGTCTTGTCTCTGCAGTGGACGTTGTGATTGGTCTTACAACTGTTTTATATATATGACTCTGAACGTCTCTATCGAGGTATTTGATCTTCAAAATAGTGCCATTTAGGCGTACTGCTACTTTGTTAGCTTTAATTACTTGTTCTCTAATCTGTTTTTCTAGGTCTGCGTGGCATAATATATTAATACTTAGGTAGTTAAATTCCATCACTTGTTCGATGATTTTCCTTTTTATTTCCAGGTTGCATCTTTTCGGCTCCATTTATGAGCACATACTTTGTTTTATTCTTCATATTAAATCATGTTAAATTGGTTAGCTGTTCTTTTGAATTGGAGTAACGTTGTTTGAAGATCGTCTTCGTTTTGAGCCATCAG